GAATTCCTGACACTGAGGTGTGAAAAGGAAAAGACTTATTTTTGTCTCCAGCTTCCTACTCATCTGGGAGCTCCTGATCTCAATAAGCTCCTTTATTTCAAGGCTCTCAGAAGTGTTTGATGTCATTGCAGTCACGCTTCTTTCTCTTACCTCCGCTTTTGATCCCTAACCTGTAACATGGGGGAAAAAATTGCTTTCACTGAGATCCCCTAGCCTTTTGGATCATAGAGATCATCATTGCTGCAGACTCCAGGAAGAACCTGCCTTCTAGGCTGTGCCTATTGGTCTAGAAAACAGACTAGCCTAGAAAATAGCCTGCAATGGCCAACTGCAAATAGGAGATGAACTCTTGGCTATGTAGCAGAAACCACTGTGGGTTATGAGGACTTGCTAAATGTACTAAAGGTTGGGAAATAAACAGGTTTGACAGCTGCTCGCTCCAAATTGGGCTGTTCTTGTCGCAGTTGAAGAATCTCTGTACAGAGACAAACACAAAATTGTCTAACTTGAGTTCAGCAAAAAGCTTGTGAATGTTTCTAAAAACATCTTTGATTTAAAAATCTCTATGTCTTTCTGTAAGCTTTCTCATGTGTCTGTTGTTTTTTTCCTATTGGTTTTTAATGTTACCTCTCCATAAATCAAGAGTAATTTCATTTATGTAAGTAGATTTCCCTCTGACATCAGAATTGAGGAACAAGTGAAAACACATCTTTTCTGCTGATTCTTTCCATTCCATTTGTTTGCGGTTGAGGTCTTGGCTATATGTTGAAGGTTGTATTATTATTTTTTTAATCTAAACTTTTTTTCATAGTACAGAGGATCATTTGTTTTGTGTGTTACTTTTTATAAGCACAATGTTTCTGTTATTTAAGCTGAAGAGGAGGGTCTTAGAGATTCTAAATATATTTGATACTCTTTAATAAGTGTATCTTCTAAAAATAGTTTTTGTGAAGAAGGGCAGTAACTCATTCTGTAATATTCCTAGTCAACAGCAAAAGCCATAACGTTTTTTTTCTGAAGTGATTGCCATAAAGGCTTGTTGTTTTTTTTTTCTGAAATGATTAATGGCATATCTGAAGTCCTGCAAATTTTTGCTATGCTCAGCAGAATCTAAAATTTGAAAAGAAAGACTATCGTGTACTTCTGCTTGTGAAATTAGCTCTTCCTTTATTCTGTCTTACTTGTTCTCTTGCCAGCCAAGCTAGAAGAGTAAACAGCACCATGAGGCTATGCTAATGCTGTGAGACATTTTCATCCGTTCAGTGTGCAAGAGGCTTAATTCCTTATCGTCCTTCCATGAAGTGTGTGTATTGCATGTGTGGGGAATGCAGGATTGGGCAGAAATATTTTGCCCTTTGAAGACCCTTTGTGCAAAACAAACACTCAATTCCAGCCAGTGTAATTTAGTGGTAAATAACAGTTTTCTGGAGATGAACTTCTGCTTGTTTTCTGCAATGTACCAAAAGCATTTTTAGTACAATCCTGATCTTGGAAGTCCTTGACACTGACATGAAGGCATGTAGTGAAATTTGTGCATTCATGGTGCCAGACCATCTAGATGCTTTATTATTTGCTTTCCTCAGAAACGTGGTGGTGTTCTAGACTGTGTGGAGACTGAGCCATTTGTTTAGTATTTCAGGGGGATGAAAGGGAAGAACAACATAGATTAAACCAGTGTCCATGGAAATGAGAATGAGTGTACTAATGGTTATTATCCTGGTGTGGAAGAACAGGAGACTATTATTCCTGGAGGTGCTGTGATTGCTTTTGTTGGTGACATTACTAATAGTCTTCCGCTGTCATCCACGCATACGTAGCTCCCTAGGCATTTTTTATGGATGTCTTAATCCAGATTACCTATTATCAGGATACAAACTTAAATCCAAAAGGTAATGAAAGATTTTGGCGGATGTGTGAAATAGAATACAGATCACAGAGACCGTACAACCTCAGTGTGAAGAGGAGAACTGGCAACATCACACCCAGAGTTTGTTCAGACCTCATGTGAAGCTGTTGTCTTAAGACATACTCAGTTTTGAACAAATGCATAGACCTGATTTTTAAGCATGAACATTTGTCATCGTTAGTTTATATATGTAGCATATTACACATATGCATATTAAAAATCGCTGACTTAAGGCTCCTAATTTAAGAAAACACATGGCCACCTGTTTTGGCCATGATTTGAAGGGGAGTTAAACAGATGTTTCTGGGCTTTGCTCATTTGGGGAAAGCCAGGTATGATGTGTTGGCCAATAAAAGATGCACTGAATGCTGTCCTGCTTCACATAGACTGCCTTTACACTAAAATAAATGGAGAAGAGTCGGACTTGCAAAGAAATGGAAGGATTGCCTGAATTGATGTTGTCTATATGCCATGAGGGAGCTCTGTAATGCCAGCTATGCTGCCTGGGATGTCTGGCTGTTGCACAGATTGGGTACCTTTGGTGAAGCCACATAAATTGCTGCATCTGTTAGTGGGGGAAAAAAAAAATCGTGCTGTATTTTTACATTTTGCAGTGCAAGATAAAATTTTTTCAAGTCATGTTCTGAAGTCTTTATTTCAAGATGTGAAATAAATTATTAAATCCACCTTTATTGAAATCTGCCTTCCTGGTGTTTGCGTATGCTCTGACTTCAGTGGTTTGCAGTGAAACCAAAAAGAACTCATTTGAGAGGGATTTGGGAGATGGCTGTTTTCCTTCCACAAGAATGAGATGGATATGTGTGACCAAGCATGCTTGCCATCGCTGGGAAAGTGGCTGTAGTTTGTGGGGGCAAGAATGACAGACCTGCTAGAAGGAAAGCTTGGAATCTAACTGTGTATATTAAATCTATCTGGAGATAGAGAGGAGGCAGGATTTGGACTGAGTCTAGGTCTGCCCTTGATTTGTCCCATATACCCACTTTTTGATTTGGAAGGAATTATCTATGAATAAATATAAGGGTGGATAGATATGAGTGAGTGAGAACGAACTTGATCACCCGATGTGCGATTCCCATGGTGAGGTGTTGACTCATCTTTTTTTCTATGGAAAGCTATTTTCCAGCCTTAGAAACACTGGTTCCAGTTTGGGAAGGCATTGAAGCACTTGTACAAAGTGCTTTTCCAAGGAGGGATTTTTTCCATAGTCAAGTCCTGTGTAAACTTGAAATGCCTTTGATTTAGGGAAGGGTGGGGGGGAAGTGAAGTAGTTCCAGGTGCTACTGTCTGTGCATAATATCTTGCACATGGAGACCCTGTTCTGTTGGTCCTTAGGCAATACCAAGATAAAAAAACAATACAAACACCTGCACTTGGATCCACCTGCCAAGTTCTGTAGCTTTGCACTCCCTTTCTATAACTCAGGGAAGAGGAGGCAGGTATTCTGCTGTGCTTTGGTTGCTGTGTTGACAGACATACAAACAGCAGATGCTGCCAAAATGAAGGAGACATTGAGACTGTCCTTATGTACTGGGCTCTTGCATGCACAGACAGATTGGGGGAGGAAGGAGAAAACCACTTCCCTGCCTTGCCTTCTGTTGTGCATTTAGTGTTCCTTCTCTCACAGTAGTGAGCTAAAATATTTTCATAAAGAAGCATACTTCTTGAGTTGATGTCCCAATAACTTCTGAATTTCAGGCCTCGTGCACTGAAAGGTTTGATCTTTGCCTTCCCAGATAAATTGTATTTAATTGTGCTTGGTTTTCTAACTACAGGGATTCTGGAGCAGGAAAATGTCCAAGTACATTCAAGGTTTGCTCTTTAATGTTGGCAGCTGCTGTGCAAGATGAATTTTGAAACTGTGGTTCTACTTGTGTTAACAAAAAAAAATTGCTCTAATTTTTTTTTTTTTAATTGTAAGATACAATTGCATTTGTTTTGCACTTTCTAATCTTGAAAACAGAAGCTGGGTAAAACTGGTTGGCTCTAGCTAGTTCTGCCTCTGTGAGTACTGGAACCAGTTTAGTTGGGGGTAGGTCACCAGGGTGAAAGTTTTGTTTAAGATTCTTCACAACCATGTCAGTATTGTTTCTGTTAACTTGTTTAGCTTTTGTGCTGGGTTCGTGAAGGTACAATACAGCTTAGCCCTTAATGTACAACTGTTTTGGCTTCAATATACCAAAGGTATAAATAGACACCCCCTTGCCTCTCCAGCAGTAGGAAGTGACTGCAGCAGGTGGTGTCCTATACTAGAAATTTGCACATTATTAGTATCCAAGTACTTTTTTTAAAATTGGCTTTCTTGGTGTGTGTTCTTCCTTTATTAAATGCCAACTGACTGGTCAGCAAGTGTCTTTTTGAAATGTGAAATCTTCAATAAGTCAAAAGAAATAAAATCAAAAAGGTATTTTTGGATTATTTTTGTGCAGCCTCTGTATGAAATATATTTTATGTGCAGTTTTAAAAGTATTAACAGAAGGTACAAGAGAGCTGCATAATTCTGGTCACTGGTTAAAAAAGAATTTCAGTTCTTTTAGCTGTCTTGGACTGGAGTTTAGCTTTAGTTTGTTACAGCGGTTCCTCCATGGTAATATTGGTAGGTGCTTGGAAGTCTGCGGGCAAGATTTGTATCCCTGCTTGTGCTGAACAGTACCTTGCGCTGTGAGTGGCATCAGGAAAATAAACGGGGCTTTTTGTGCAGCAAGGTAGTGTTCAGAGCAAATAAGGATATTGCAGTCTAGTCCATGCGAAATGAGTTTGATGGTGTCGATGAACAAGCTTCCCCTTGACACAAACCCCGTCATTGTGTTTGGATTAACTTTCAGTCTCAGGAAAGAGGATGAGTTGTTTGGGCAGGGAGAATAAATGCATTTGTGCTGCCAAGATTCTTTCTTTTCAGCCATGGTGGAGAGCCCTTGCCTCCTTGCCACTGTTGAATGCTGAAGAAATAGTGAAATCAAGGGGAGACGCACTGTGTATTTATTGTGTGTGTAAATAACAAAAAAGGGGGACAATCCTGTGTTTCAGTTACTGTTTAATGTGTATCTGCCTTTATCCCCTTTCTTTTCTCCCACAGATGCGAGAGCTGTGTGGAACTGCTCTTTGTGAGAGGGGCTGGGAATTGCCAGGAGTGCGATACCCCCCTGCGGAAGAGTAACTTCAGGGTACAGCTCTTTGAGGATCCTGCTGTTGACAAGGAAGTGGAAATTCGGAAGAAAGTGCTGAAAATGTGAGTATCACCACTGTTAAAAGAACAGAAGGTGGATGTATTTTGTGGCTCGCCATTTTAAAAAAATTTACTTACTCCTCTAGTAGTACAGAGGAGATTTTTTTAAAGTGATAACCCATAAAACTTTATCTAACGTGGAGGGATTTCGGAGAATCTGCTTTTATGCAACAACGGAGGGCTGAATTCTCAATTTAGCCTTGAGAAATTCCTGCTTAGCATTAGAAAATGTTGGGTGTTTCTATGTGGCCTCCCTTGGCAAAGACTTGCCTCCTAAATGCAGTTGATTAGATATTGAGGACTGCAGCTGCTTTCCCTTTGAGGGGGTGAACATGGGAGTGGGGCAAGAAACAGGACCTTGACTGTTTTGTTCCCTGGGGACCAGTTCTGTTGAAGGCCAGTTCCCTTCAAAATGAAAACAGACAAAAGAGAAGCTATGTTCACATTGTTCTCTACTTCACACAGCAATTTTTAGTGGAAATGCTTCCTTACAAGCCTTGTGTTACTAGCCTGTCATGCAGATTTGAGAGGTCTTGAAGCTGTGATAAATGAGATCTATAATTGCATGTCACTCCTTGTGGCCAAGAAACAGCATTTTATAAGGAAAATAAGTGAGCCAGTTGATGTTTTGGTAGAAGAAGGTCTGATAGAACTAACAAACCTGGAGAGAGTTGTGTGTGCAAAAATGAATGTATGGATAAATTATAACCTTGGCAGCCTTCATCTAGACGTAGTACAATACTAAATGAATTATATGATGCTGCTGAGGTGTGGGGAAATTGTGTTGTTGGATAGCAAGATGCTGATGTGGAAAGTAGTAATAATTTTGATGCTTGATTATAAGGTCTACTTAAATTAACAAAAGTCAAACTGGAATGAACCAGCTTAGTTGAGTAAACACAGAGTGAAGTGTAGTTGGAACAAAGAACATTGTAAAATGCTTGGCCCACTTGAATTTGCCAGATTAGATTTTAATAGGCAGGAAAAATGTCCCCAAATGGTAATTTGGCCCCCGTTCTTGGGATTACATCTTTTTATACTCTGGGGTGTCACTTATCTTGGTCCACTGGGCAGGTAGAATCCCACCTTTATATTTTCTTGGGAAAAAAGCCTGCATGTCTTGACTTTCAGAGGCTGTCCATGTTCTAGCCAGCTGTCCCTTCATCTCTTTCACTTTTTCCAGCTATCAAGAGTTCTGGAATGGTCTGTTGATATGAAATAAAATAATTATGTAGCATTTTCAGTTTGCTGCTGACATACGCTTTCTGTTGTTGGCACAAAGCCAAAAAACCTCCCTTTGCTGGTTTTCTAGAAAAGCTTTTCTTGTGAACTTACTGTTGTGTCTGCCTTTGTTAACAGGTTTCTCATGCTGAAGGGCTGGCATGGAATTAGTATATCTTAGCCTCTGTGCTCCTGTTTACCTGTAACCCTGGAAAAGGAATTGGCAAACAGTAGGCAAAGATAGCACCTATTTATGCCAGGTTGGCTCCTTTCCTTTAAAACAAGCTCTTCTGTCTCCCTTTAAAGATTCTGTATGTTGGTCAGTTGTAGGAGCCACAAAGCATATAGTTGATAAAACTAGGTCAATACTTAATACGCCTGCAGCAAGAGCCTCGTTGAATTGAAATTGCATCTTTATGTGTTATAAATACTTGTTTCTTTTCTCTCAAAGATACAACAAAAGAGAGGATGACTTTCCCAGTCTAAGTGAATATAATGATTTCCTGGAAGAAATAGAAGAAATTGGTAAGTCTTACTGCTTGCATTTTTTATGTGCTGTGCTCATGAGACCATAGGCTTTTATCTTCTGACTCAGCTGTCTATGAGAATGTCTAAGTTGAGTTTCTGTAATAGGATTTATCATAGTATCAGATGTTAATCTAATTACTTTTTTCTGTACATTTTTAAATTGTATTTGCTGAACTGTAGGACATCGTTAAGTAAAACATTTTATCTGCCGGAGGAAAAAAAAAACATGATTCAGAGAGAAGTAGTGCTTTTTAGCTGGAAAGAAAGGCTTTCAGGGGACTTCGGTGCTGCACTGGGAAAGGTTAAACAAAGAGAGGGGAAATTGAAATTTTCATTGTATGCCTCCACTAGCTTTATCTACCATGACAGAAGCCATATGGTGTCTTTCATCATTTTTGCTTCTGCAAGTACAGTAGTTGAAGCTGCTTTGAAGCTGATGACCTTACATACCACTGTGGTAGCGTTTTATGTTGCTGTGCAGAAGGAGAAGGTTTAGGAACAGACGTTGATTTCTTTCTCTTTGGATTAGTTGAAGCAGAACTTTGCCCTTTGGGGAAGGGACTATGTTATCAACAGAGTTTATTTTCTTCTTAGTTAGGGTGACTTGTGATTTATGGTGGAGTGATGGATTTTGCTTAGAAAAACAAGGATGTGTTCAAAGGAGTGACTCCTAAATGGTTTGTTTCTTGGTTTTTATGAGCTTCTGAGGCTTTTCTTTTTTCTTTTTTTTCTTTTTTTTTTTTTTTTTTGTCCTGGAGGAAGAAGAGGTGGCTTGGAACATGTAGGAGGGGCAGTGAATGTGATTTGAAGGAAAACATGGAAATGCCACTCCCCTTTGGTTTCTCTAAGGAGCCCTTGCTCCTCTTTGTACTGTGGTGTTTTGTAGAAATATATCCAATACACTTACTGCTGTCAGTAATGTATCATATTTTTGTTGGCATCAGAAGGCTGAGGCTGGAGAGCTAAACTGTGTGGCTGGGAAATACCAGGCACACTCATGCAGTCCAAATATCTGGAGGAGATGATGTGGGTGTAGTTCTGTTTGTATATTTCTTTGGATGGTGCGGGGGAAGGAGGGAATGAGTAGAAAGAAGGCTTGCATCTTAGCCAGAGGATCCTGGAAGAATCTGTGTGCTCATAGAAAGGAAAACTGCTTTTTACTTCTGTAGCATTAAATACAGGTTTCCCACTTACTGCTGTTGCAGGGGTTTTCAGCATCTGCAACAGGGGAGTTGAAGTTTTGCCTGAAATTGCACAAATTGATGAGGTTAAGGCAGAATGTTATGATTCTCCAGCTCTTAGGATTAGATTGTTAAATTTCAATGGTTCCAGAGCCTGTACCGGTAACTTTGGTTTAGAAGCAGCAGAAATCATGGCTGGTATCTGTAACCTTGTGAAGAAGAGTGAATTTGTCAATAATTGTGCTGACCCTGCAAATGCATAATGAAGAAGTTCGATAGATAGACTTGTTAGGAATTGGAGTTAGTTGCCTGAAAGGGACACCTAAAATTCTAAAAGGAATAGGAAGTCTGACTATCTCCTAGTTTCTTCATGTAGCAGCCAGGGTGATGAGGCAAAAGATGGGGTGCAGTCAGGAGGCTCTTAATTTTCACCATCAAAGGGGTCACTTATGATCTACTAGCTTCAGGCAGATCCAGAAGCTGGAGGACTGGTTAGATTCAAGACCACCACCTTGGGTAGGAATTCAAGCCCTGTTCTCCTTTCCCTGGTGACAAAGTTCATTGCGCACATCTTGCTCTCCCTAAGCCCTTCCCTGCCTGCACTTCTGGGCAGAGTTCTCCACCTGACAGTTGTCTGGTACGTAGTAATAGCGTGGCTTGTTCCGGTGTTTTTGTGCATGTTGTATGTGGTGTGGCTGAACCATGTGTTAAAGGTGTCCTTGACTCCGTGTGGTTACTTCACATTTTACTGCTGAGGGTATTTATTTCATTTTTTTGTGTATGTGAATTTCCTGCTCATTTGTGTGTGTGAAAAACTAGATTGCAAGATGGAAAAGGAAGGGTATAGTCATGCAGCACAAAGTTCTCCCTTGTAGAGCCAATATACAGCAGGTTGGCAGTAGCTGGTGGTCATTGTTCAAGCTGCCAGGTTAGGAAGCTAGGGAGCCAGAGAACTGCATTTCCCCGTTCTCCCCCTGCCCCACATTTTCAGGTTTTTCTGTGGGAGGGCAAAAGTGCAGCTTTACCCTATTTTCTTTTTGCTGGTAAGTTTTGTTCTCTTCAGTTGTTGTTGGAGATTAAATGAAGTAGTTGTTTGGCAGAGACAAAATGTAAACAACCTGTATAAGTATACTTCCTGTGACCTTGGCACAATTCTGATAGTTTTTCCAAATGTTTCAGGTAGGTCAGCTCCAACATTTGCAGCAGTTGTGCTGTCTTATTCCATTGATGTGATATATGACCTCACTTGAAACATATTTTCCCCCTTCATATCAGGATTGTTATACCTACAGACTTTTTCTATTTAAAGAAAAGAGTTGGGTGGTACCGCCACAAAAGTGTGAGAGGGGAAGGTCAAACAAACATTAGGGTAGTCACCTTTTAAGATTTCTATTATAAAAAACACATTTTTGAAGTGGTTTAGAAGGTAGCCACTAAATAATGCTTTGGGCTAAAATGTGTTATGCAAGGTTTTAAATAGAAACCACATTTGAAAGCAAGTTTTCCCCAGAAGAAAAATCAGTTGGACAATTTGAGAACATTGTAAACACAGTTTGTTGTCATTAACACTAGGAAGGAAAATAAAGTGAAAGGGTTAAAACCTGCCTTTGGGAAAGGTGTGGGCAACATCTATCAGAGTAAGTCAGGTCCATGCCCATATGATGAGGGGGGCAAGGTTAAACCTTAGAGTGTTGCTATAAGTTACCATCTCTGGACATGATGCAAAGTTTGCTGCTCTTTCTACAAGGTTTTGTTCTTCCCCAGAGTATCTTTGTAGCTGGTTTTTCAAAACCCTGTGTGTAAGCTCTCCAGAGCAGGGCCCGCCTCCTAGCACGTGTGTACATACTGCCTGGCACGATTCTCCTCATACCTGAAAGAAGCCTCTAGGCATTACCACAACACGATTGTTAATAGTAATTATTGCATTTTAAAAACATTCAGCTTGGAAGGAGACTACTGTATTTGTGCCCTTCGGATTTCTGCATCTTGTTACTCCTCTAAGACTTTATGCAATGCCAGCTGCCTAGTGACTTGTCTTGCGCAGAACGTTTATCTCACAAGTGATCTTTGGAGAGAAAGGATTTTGGTATCTATGGTCACTTATGGGTTGTGTTGTTTATTGTTTTGTGGTTTTTTCCTCCATGTTTGTGCACGAGGATGGTATTGTTGGTCCTGACAGTGGAAATAACCCAACTGGAAATTGGGTAGCTTTATCAAACATCCATTTCGGTCATCTCCTCTGAACAAAGATTGCAGTACCACACTGTTCCAGCCAAAATGGTCTTTCTTAGACCGATGAGGCGAGTCATTTCAATCATTTATTACTATGCTGAGGTATTTTTCTGGAAATTATTGTCCCCATAAAAGACAACTGAGGATAAACAGAAATAATTATTAATACCTAACTAGATTTTTCTGGCTTAGCTGTGGGTTTTCTTTTGGTTTTGATAATTATTTTGTTATAATCACAGAAGTGTTAGTTGGAAGGGACCTATTAAGATCTATTCCATCTTTTCTTTTCCTCACCCCTTTCCTACCCCTGTTAAAAGTACAGTTGGCCCAGACATTGAAAGCACCAACAGAAGATGTCGCAGTAGCTTTGGACTTGCTGACCAGGCTGAGGATGTGGTTGTGTCTGCCTTCATAGCGCTCTGCCCAAAGCAATTGTTGTCTTGCCATTCCTGGTCTCTAGCTGGTGATTTATAATGATGATGATAATCAAGGAGTTGTTTGTAGTAGAGTGGGTGAAATATTGTTTATAACAAACTAATACTTACTAATCTAAAAATTTTCAGTGGACTCATACCAGCATTGCAGATCAAACACGGTCATCAGAATAATCATCTGCTGTGTTGCCAGAGATGGAATGTTCCAAAAGTTGTATAGCAAATATTTTTACGTGGTAACATTGCTGTCTTTTAAAGAACTAGGAGGAGGAGCCTCAGAAAATTTGCAGTGTCTCAGACTGAATCAGGGAGATTATGATGGACTTGAAGTCCCGTGGTGGAGTGACGTTCATTCATACTGTTGTGCCTCTGGACAAATTATTGTGCCATATAAATATAATTTTTGTCTCACTTTTTTTTATTTTATAACTAGGAAAATATTTTTCCATTTGTTGTAGAATTACATAATGAATGTTGTTGTTTTGCAAAGTAGTGAAAGTCTCCCTGTAGAGGCTGAATTTCAGAAGTAGGGAGTTTTACCTAAATAGAATGAAATGTTTCAGAAAAACACAATAGTCTTGCTGTTGTACTTCGACAGATGTCTCAAGGCAAGTCATTTTATAAACCAACCAATGTGAGATGGATAAGTAGATAAATAATTGTTGCATACAAAACAGCTTCTGTTTCTTTTCCCTGAAGGGTTTCAGGCCTCTTATATTGGCTTATGCTATATTTCAACATGGACAAAAATAAGTCTGGCTTCTCTTTGAAACCTTTTCAAACTAGCCATCTGCTTTGCCAGTCATATTCAGATCTCTACCAATATTTTTTCAGGGTAGGTTGTAGCATATGAGTTAGGGTTTTTAACTCTTTCTAGTTCTTCTAGTTTTATAATTTGTTTTGCTGTATCTTTTAAAAAGGGAACATTTAAAAGAATTTTATTTCAAATAAATTTCTGGCAAAACTCAAAGCAGACCAAATTTAAAAAAAAAAAAAACAAAACACCCCTGCATAGTCCTAGCTATGTAAAAGGTAAGATGTTGAGTATGAGTGACCTGTGTTCTTTGATTTGATACTTGTTGATTTTTAAATGCCAAGTAACTTGTGGGAGGGGACAAGGGAAATCTTTTAATTATTTTCTGTGGCCTAGTGCCCCTTACAAAATGGACTTGTCAGCTATAATTGCAAGGATACAATGGAAAGAATATGTATTTTCTGAATATTGATGAAAAGATGTTTGAAGCTCATGAAAAATATATTACAAAATATGTTGAAAGATGTTTTGACTGGCTGGTTGGCCACTGATAACCATGCAATGTCAAAGAGCATAGCTTGTTTTGCTGCTAGGGTGTTTATTGTAGGAGGGAAGATGTTATTTTCCTTTATTAAAGGACAACTATTGACGCGGATGTTGATCTAGGGACATCCAAGTCTTAACACTGCTGCAACAAAATGTAGATCTTCAGCATCTTAGGTCTTGAAATGTGGACCAAGATAATGTTCCTTTTCAGTGACTACAAGTCAGTATTCAGTGGGAGAAATCTGCTCTGGCCTTTGAGGGTGCTGGAAGTATGAATCTTTCTGATTGCTGGTGTCCTACCATATCCTCAAGTGACAGAGTAGGGCAAGACTGACAGAGCAGAATCAGCATGGTATGAGCAAATCTGACCGTTGAGGGGGTTTTACCTTGGTTTGGTTCCACCCACAGCAGGGAAACAGAAGGAGAAATAAACCATCTTTCACTATGCTGCAAGCAGAGCAGTGTTTTTAAGGTGGCTGTGCAGGTGGATATTGAAGGTTTTTTTTAAACATTGATGGAGTAACATATGTCTTACATGGAAATGTTACTTCATGTCAAGTAGCAAAATAAACCTGCTTTTGTAAGTAGTTCTAAATAAAGGCAGACATCTGCATCTGTCTAAAATTTGCCTGCTTTCCCCACTAACAGTTTTAAATTTTATGGTTTTGGTTGTACAAACCTAGGTTGTGACGAGTTGAACCTGTGAAAAATAGCTGAGAAAGGAGGAAAAAAAAAAAAACCACAAAACCCCTGAATGTTTCAAGCAGCAGTAGTTGCAAAATCTAGATCATCATCTTATTGCTGGATTATTTTTAGAGAAATACCCAAGATATTCAGGAGCCTAAAGGCATTTGGCACCTCATCTTGCTCCTCCTTTTGTACCTGAAGGTGGCATCTGGGCATCCTGCTGGCACAGCATGTCTCATATGCTATTTCTTTCTTGTGTCGTCATTGAAGAGTTTAGAGAGCTGGTGTGTGGATTTAAGTTGTAGGAAGTGCTGACATTCCCATGCAGCTGCTGTCATTGCAGAGCCCTGGTCTGATTGTATGCCAGCATTTTCACATGACGATTCTTGTCTGCCGTAATACTCAAATATTATGCTGCTTGTTAGCTGGGAACTGTAGGCTGAAAATAACAAAAAATTTAGACTAAAATAATGTGTATTACTAAGGAAATGTTGCTACAACCAGAAAGCATATGTTTGTCACAATATGAAATTGGAAAATGTTGTTAACGCCTTTTGGAGAGAAAAAAATAGGTAACTTGCTTCCAAAAACCAAGGAGCTGAACTTTGAATGGCTTTTTGGGTCATAGCAGTGCCCAGAGGTTCCATCTGAGATGAGATCAAGACTACAGAGATAGGTGCTTGCATATAGGTATAGTACAGAACTATAACAGACGATGTATTAGAAGAAAGGAAGCTTTATTCCCCTACTTACCGGTGGGAGACCTCCCCTACAAAGGCCCAGCGAGCTGCCCAGGAACAGTAGCAAAGTTGGAAACTGAACTCAAGTTTTAGTTCCCAATCAAATGCTTAAACCACTCAGATCTTCCTTCTGAAGTGAGGATGATGGGGTCGGGGTGGAAGAGTTCAGCTGATCTAGGAACCAGGCTGAAGTAAAATGTCAGTCCTCTTGATACTGCTCATTATTTGGAAAAGAAGGGGAAAAATAAATACGGCATTTTGTTTGTTTGCCTAAGGTTAGGAATTTCATCAACTGCATCTTGCCTTGTCCTTTTTGTTGCAGTTCAAGGAAGGACTGAATACTTTTGATAAGAGTAAGATGATATGGTGGGTGCAGTACTCCTAGAAAAAGAGTATTCCTTCCCATCTGTACACTTCTGTTACTTCCTTTGTACTATCTCTGGCACCTGCCTGGCCCCTTTGTTGAGCCAGTTCAGGTTACTGGAGGGCTTCTGTTGACACTGCAAAGCATCCAGGGAGTCCTGGAGTCAGAGCAGGGAAGGGGCAAGACCTGTGCCTGGGAAGAAGGATGTAAGAGCAGGACTGCTTCTTTTTGGTAGTAGTGAGCTGCTATACAACTGGGTTTGTAGAACTGAGCTGTATCCCACAACTCCAGCATTTTGGACCTTCCCTGTTTTCTCCCCCCACCTCTGTTTGCTCCCTGCTTTGATTTCTTGCTCTCCTTTGCTGCTCTCAACTGGTTTGCCAGTCTAGGCTACTAATGGTTTGTCTTACCTAGAACCCTCCTAAAAGCTCATTTCTACCATTTTACCTGTGGAAAGGATGAAAGAAGGGATATAATCTTTACCAAACTGAGATGTGTGCTGTTCTGATGAGTAACAGCACAGACTTCATGCTTCTTCCTTCTATTCCTCTCTAGCAGCCTTACTTACACAAATGACTTGGCAGTGGTGCATGTGCCCAGAGTTCATTTGGCCCAATCACTTGAGAGCCTAGGAGGAGAGAACTGAACCAAAATCTTCCAAGTTCTGTGCTGGCATTTCCACTAGAACCCCCTTCTCTTCCTTAGGGTTTGACTTAGCACAGTTGCAGTACCGTTGTTTTCTTGCAAAGGATTTATGACACTGCAGATTTCTCTGCTGCTCTTGTAAATTTACTGTAGCCATGTGACAAAGCTCTTTGAGGCTTTGAGTGCTGTGTGTTGGCAGTCTTCAATGGCTTTAAGGCCGTGGACATGAGCCCAGCATCTTCTCTGGATGGCGATCACCAAGCGACTTCCCAGTGATACTGGCGTTCAGTTGGAATTCACTTCACCCACAATTGAACCAGTGACCTCGAGGTGAAAGGCTTACGCATTGTATCAAATCACTAATCATCCAAACCATCTACATCTTTCAAGCTGTTGATTATAGAAACTGTTCAATTTTTTGAGGTGTCTTCCAGGCCATGTGTAGATAATTGGGAATGTTGTGCTAAAGTATGGAGCTTGCTGGCTGATTCTGCTTGCTCATAATTATGTGAGATATAGTCTCTCACTATCGAGAGACATCAAAAGAACGTTACTTAACCTATTAATCTGGATGCATCTGCAGATTCCTCATAATAAAGGTAATTGTACATTGGTGTCTTTTAAGTTATCAAATGATGTAGAAAATTTTTTGTGTACCTGAGAATTCAGTCTATGTAGTCTTTGTGCTTTAGATAGTCATTCCTCTTATGAAATTGAATAACTTAATTTTTAACCTTATCTTAATATGTATGTGTTTAGTCTAATTTTATAGGAATCACTGTGTTTTTAGCTGTAGCTGCTACCTGAAAATGTCAATGTTTTATGAATAATATTATGATGATTCATGTGTATCAGTATCACAAAATAGGATACAAAAGTAAAATTTCATCTCCTACAGATGTATAAATCTAAAGGTACTCTGCTATCTTCTGTTGGTTTGGAGTGATTTATCAGATTATGTCTTGCTTCACAGGGCATATTTAAATAAACTCTGTTATTGTGATGTTTATCTCTGGTGCTAGAAGGGGTAGAGAACATGAGTAGTATTTTTGTCATAATCATGCATGCCAACCTAATGCTTTTACTTTCTGTCTTTCTAATGTTTATGCAGTATTTAACTTGACCAACAATGTGGATTTGGAGAACACCAAAAGGAAAATGGAGCTCTACCAGAAGGATAACAAAGAAGTCATTCAGAAGAATAAGATAAAACTGGTTAGTTAACTTACCTCCCCTACAATTTTTATTCATTATTAAAGAATTTTTTGCAGTGGAGTACTTTCTGTAATATTGTAAAAACAAGTCAAAGCTGAAGGCACTATGCAGATTTCACTTTGTATTCAAAAATTGTAATAAGCTAATATTCTGTGATACTGTTATTTAGTACTGCTTAAAGAGATTAAATTGAGAGTTGAAATGTAGTTATGCTTTATTTTGGGAAGGGCTTAAAAAGAGGGGCAGGCAGTAAAGTCTGCATCTAATACATCACCACCCCATGCGTGCTGGCAGTGTCATTGGACAATATCCAGGAGAGACCAACTTCATTCCTATACCAGGACAATCATTCCTTTCTCATCCAAAGGAAAAAAGGAATCCAGACGCAGACATTATGAAGCTCCCAGGAGAGAGTTGTAAAATTGAGGGAAAGCACAGGTCTGGTTTATGCAAAATTTACAATGAAAGATGTTGAAACAAACATTAAGACTTTTGTTCAAGAGTTGATAACAATAACATCAGGAGTATTGTGTACATGACCTGTATGAAAAATGCATGGTTGTTTGGAGATTTATTAATTTAAAATGTGGCTCAGATACAAGTTCTTTAAAAATAAACTTGCAAGCATTTCTGTAAGAAAAGTTTAATCTGTTAAATGTTTTTTCAGTATAAAAATACACATTGTTATCGGTTCGTGAAAGGAAAATGTCTGCCCAGAGTGTGACATAACAGGGTTTTGTGTTTGTATCCCAACTGCACTAAGGACTTGCTTTCAAATCAGTAGGGGTGAAATCCTCACTCCCCTGAAGTCTGTGGCAAAACTCCCAGTGATTTCTTTAGCTCTAGGATTTCACAGGAGGAGATTGGAATCTGAAAAATGTTTGTTTGAACCTCTTCCTTTTAAAGGCAAGGAAATTTCCCTAGGGGTCCATCTCTGATCTGTTATCCTATCTCTGACACTGTGCAATATCCTATGCTTCAGAGCTTGAAGAGACCTGCCAAATCTTTGGCTACATGTCTTTCTTTACAACGTAAGTGCAACCTCTCGGGTCACGATGAGAGTAGTGTGCTTTGCCTGCAGCCCACCTTCCGTTCACGTACGTGATGCGCAGACGGCCTGTGCACTAGCTGTATGATCACATCAAGCAGCACAGTAATACTCTGTACCCGCCCAAGCCCCCTGGGCCTTCTGTTTTCTGTACTGTATGGTCTTGCTGTGATAGAGGCTGTCTGGTGGAAGCTGGACAAGCCTGTGTGAATCCAGACTTACTAGAGATTTGGAGACTTTTTTTATTTCTTTTTCAACATTTGAAACCCTCAACATTTCTTTTGCAACAGTTGAAACATAGTAATAGACCTGATGCAGTTGCTATTACAAAAACTGCATGATCTTGCCCATAAATTTACCCATTTACCAAAAGTTGAAAGGGTGCTTTTTCTCTCTGGCTCTTTTTGGCAGGTTTTGGAATGTCTTTACTCCTTAAATGATAAAACATGTCCTAATTTCTCACCTAAAGTTCTTAGGGCTAGTAATTGTCCCTTCATTCTTGGACTGACATTATTTTTTCTGTCCACTGTAATAGTTTGCTTCTGAGGAATATAGATACTTTCTGTCCCTCTTGGTGTTTTTGTTACCTTTTGCCTGTTCCAGTTTGAATTTGAAGGGACCAGAATTGAATGCAGTATTGTAGCTGAGATCTTAACAGCCTCTTAAAAAGAACACTGTTTTCCTATCCCTACTGGAAACATGTTGAGATGCATGATCCTAAGACTGGTTTTGTCTTGTAGCACTGTCATATGGGAGGTTCAAAAGCTGTAGTGGTCAAGTAGTGCATCATGTTTTCTCCTCTTTGGTTTCTAACTGATGAGTTGATGTCTCCAAATCCATGGCCTTGTGAGTTATTTTCATCTCACTTCTGCTACTTCTGTCCTCATGAGTATGTCATTCTTACTTAGAAATCAAAATATATTAAGTTACTGAAGCAGTCACCTCAGGTGACTGTGGGACCTGTGGGACTTGTTCTTCTGTCAATACAAACCATATTCTTCATCTTTGTAGCCAGTTCCTAATGACCTTGCTACTCATGTGCTGACCCATCTGTTACATGTGTAGATTTGATGCAGGACCATGCAGAGAAAAACTTTAAGTAGACAGGTTTGAATAAAAAGGTGAAGAACTCTTGGAAAAGAGGTTCTTGTCATTATAAATTGATTTTTTAATATACATATTTATATATACTTTTTATATATATAAAAAACCTTGCACTCTAAGCAGACTACAGTTTTCCCAAACGTGCCTTCTTCCTTAAATATCTGTTATTCTCCAGTCATAGGGTATCCTGTTACTTCCTACTTTATCACTAGATGTTTAATTTCACTTGCTGCTTTTTTCAGTCCTGAAATAGTTTTGTCTGGACTCCATGATGTGAATGTGTCTTAACTTTTCTGATTTCACCTTTCTTGAATGTGGTAAAACATTATACCTTCTATTTACTTCTTACCATTTGCCATCTTGACTTTACTTCAGGCTTTACCATGATTATCTTTATTTCGTTAGATGTTGGGGCTGTGTCTGGGTTATCTTTAAGCTTGACACAACCCTTGCTGCCTATTGGATGCATCTCTCTTCCGTTTTACTGGTTTTGGTCTTTCAGAAAGAATTTGATCTGATTTGTGGTAATTCATCCTTTTTCCTGTAGTCTAATCTTGTTTAGGTTTGTGTATCAGTTTACTTATTTCTGACTGTAATTTTTCAGGGCTGGTTCTTCAGACTAGGTCTGTCAGTTCTTCCCTTCAAGTTTTCTTCTGCTTCAGTGCAAATTCCAGGTCAGTCTTTAAAAATAAACATGGAAGAGGCTTGGAATAACTTAACGACCCTGAGATCCTCAGTTCTGTTAACTGAACTAACTAGATCCCTTAATTCTCAGAAATAATCTCAATTAGCAATTTAGAGATTTTTTTGTTCATTTGTTTCCTTTCATTAAATACAAAGAGAATCCAGTTTCAGGCGGTCACTGGTTGGTGAGCAGCTCTGTACCAGTGTCACTGCTGGTTACAAAATGAAAGCAGCTTCTGTTGTCTCAGTGGCAGGTGATGAGATCTGTCAGTTCTTGCATCCAGGGGTAACTGGGCCTCAGTAGGACCCATTGGCTTGATCTGCCTGTGCTAGTTATTTCTTTCTTTTCTTCTCTTACGGCATATGACTTCAAATTATAGGAAAAGTTCCTCATTTTTGGGCAATGTGACATTTTTTACAGTTCATGCTTAAGTATGTTTGAGCTTATAAGCTTCTCTGTTAATATACACAGATTTCTAATGTCTTGTTTTTCTTCTACACCATTGTTAAGAAGCACACAAGATGCAGCTGATCAGGGGGTCAATCAGGAACAGTATTGTGGGATCATATTTTTGGTCACCCACTTATATCACTTGAGAAGTAGAATGTGTGGGAGCAAAGAGGGGTTCATTTTAGAGAGAAGGTATAAGGAAAATCCCCTGTCATTCTCTAGCATTTATAGAGCCAAGATCCACATGGTTACTTCCTACGGCAGAGAGCAGCAAGGAAGGAAAAAAAAAATGTAACTTTGCGCTGAGCAATAAGACAAGGTAATATATTGCCCATAATGACGGTAAAATTATACCTTAAAAGGTAGAATTTGGCTGCTTTCCTGTTGCTTGGTCTGACCTAGGTCCTTTGGTAGGCAGCAGAGCTGTGGGTGAGCTCTGTCCACCCAAGAAGGAAGATTGCTATAAGTGGATTTCTAATTTTCATTTCAGACACGGGAGCAGGAAGAGCTGGAGGAAGCGTTAGAGGTAGAGCGACAGGAAAACGAACAAAGGCGACTGCTCATACAGAAAGAAGAACAACTACAACAGATGATAAAAAGGAAGAATAAGCAGGCACTCTTGGATGATCTGGTGAGCAACAGAACCAGAGGCTTTGAATGCTCAGAGGCAGAGCAAACAGCAAGTACATTGACATTCGTCTCTACCACAGTTAACTGTGTGGCATTGATATCTTTACCCCTTTCTGTAACTCTGTCTTGCATGTGTTGTGTTACTGTTCTCTTACCTATCATTCGTTTCAATGTTACAAACAATGCTGGTTTTGGTAAGCTGAGGACTGGAGGAAGAGTGCTTCTGGGATTCATAGACTTAATTGGACTCATTGTCCAGAATGTCCAGTGCTGGTTAGAAATTAATTCTAGGAAAGTATTCTTGGCTGTTTCAACACAAAATTAATCCTTGATAAGATGTTAGCAAAGAAAAATACAGGAGATTTCTTGAGAAGGCAGCTATTTTCCTGGTTTTTCCTGGTTCTGCCTGGTTTAATTTTTTTGTTATGTTTTTTTCTGGTGAGCTTCCGTTGAAAGCTCTTTCCTTGTTGCTGATCGAGATGTGGAGGTATATTTCAGAAATGGCTTTAGTGAGTCCAGCCACTCTACCAGTTTTACTTATTAGTTGACATTTGACTGCGTATCTGAAGAAGAGCTAGTATAAAAGTCTAGATTTATATTTAATTAATTGACAATATGAAAACCACAGGCTTTGACTGTGATCAAGGATGGCTTGCCTTAGCATAGCTGATACGGTGGCTACTCCACCGTGAACCTCATGTATGATGGGTGAGGTTCTGTCATGTCTGAGGCCATGTAACTGCCTGCTTGTTTTGCCTTCAGCTGATGACAGTTATATCTGCTTTGGTGCATGGCTGATCATGCAATTTGTGAGGGGGATAGAGAGGAGTTAAGTTGGTTCAGCCATAATGTGAACTCTTACTGCTGGCTTATTAAGCAGTCCTGAACAGTGGTTGACAATCTGGTATGTTGAAGCAAAGTGGTGATCAGGAGCTATGTCATGAGCTCAGCCACCTCTGCAAGGAGGAGATGGTGGAGAACAGGGGACAGTAACCTCATGAGTTATTCAAGCCTTGGTCAACCCTTTTTGAGTCAGAGCACCTAAATGATAGGTGGTCCTTTTGTATTCAAAAACTACCGTGAGAAAAAGATTTCTTGCCTTGAGTGTGTCATGTTCTCTTATTGCAAACTTTCTGTGTACGAGTTACCCTTTTGAACTGAATGAAACTTGGATTCATTTGAGGCGTGTAGAGACAACTGAAGCAAAACTCATCTGCTTCTGAAAATTGTGTTGACCTTGTCTTCGGCTGAATTTACTACTGATTTTGCATCTGAAATGCAATGACTATGTGTGGGCATAGAGAAGCTCAATGTATGTGTTGTTTAAACAAGATGCACATCGCAATCTTTTTAATACATGTATGTGTACAGACACGTATGCAGAAACATTCACATGCTTTAACACTCATGAGAACAGTCTCTGTGTAACCTTGAAGGAAATCAGAAAAAAGGAGAATTATGTATGTGTGCAGTTATGTCAGTGTGGTTTAAAGCTGCTTGGCAGACTTAAATTGGAATTTCTCTTTTATTTCAGTTTCTCACATTAATATAGCATTAACTGCTGCTTTGTATTCTCAGTTGTTATTCAAGATGCAGATGCTTTTCTACTTTTCCTAGAAAAGTAGAGTTCCTTTTTGAACCAGTGCAGAGGGCACTGACATGAAAAGGGCATCGATGTGCAGTTTAGGAGTTTCAGGGGCTTTCCTCAAGAGCTGCCTTTTCCTAAGACAGGAGTCCTGGCAACCTGTCATTGGTTTTGCTGAAAGGAACTGGTGTTTCTTTTTTTTTTTTGTCTCCCCCAGACAAAAGCAGGGATGAGCATAAAGGTTCTTTGAAAATCCCTCAAGCCTGGAACTTTGCATCCATCAGTCTCTTTTCACTTTAAAGATAAAAGTACTTACAATCCACACAATTAGGAATAGTTTGAGTAGTGGATCAATTAATAAAAGCTCCACTATGAACTTGAATTTAATGGCTCAGAATAGGGATTTTTAACTGGTTTCCAACTTACTTCAATCCTGTTCTAAAACACACTTTTAATTTGTTAGAGACCAGTATGTTTTTTGATTTTTTTTCTTTTTTTTACAAAGTAGTTGGTTTTACTGGAAACCTACTTCACCAGATGGTTTGAGGAAAGAATGACCATAAATAATCTTTAAAACATGACCAAAATAGGTAGTTTTAACTGTGATTGCATATGTATTGCTGTTAAAACATATCTTAATATTCTAAAAACAACAGAAAGGTGATTTTTTTAAAAGCTGAGGAAGGAAACTGGGCAATTTAAAGTTGTGTCTCTGTTTATGAAGGGGCACTGTCAACTTAAATTTGAGCCGAAACTTGTTTTGTAATGCTAAAAGTTTATAAAAGCAGCACTGAAGGGTTTGTGTAATGACTTAACAAAGTCTCTGGAAAACCAGCAGTTGTTAAACAAATAAACATTTCCTATGGTCTCTGAAATCCCTCTAATGCTGTGCTGCAAATCTGAAAATGAAGCTGATCATAAGTAAAACTTAACTGAGAAATGCAGCAAAAGCCAAGCATAAGCAGTAGCAGTGTAAAGATTAAATTAAAAAAATAATCTTACATCTGTGGTTGCTGGTACTGTGCTAAAACAGCAAGGATTAATTTCTGGCTACAGTGATAGTGGCAAAACTACTGACTCGGCAGGACTGTGGGAGCAGAGGAAGGTGGGAAGCTGACATTTCACCCATTGGTTTTGAATCGTCTCTTTTGGATGCATCACCTGGTGTTGGGAACCTGCAGCCCACTTGACCTGGGTCTTGGTCATTGTTTTCAAGATTCCACCCCCTGCCCCCTGCTACTGGGCAGCAAGAGAATATTTAAGGCAAATTTTTTGTGAGGTCCAAGTAGAGATGGTGGGTCTTTCCTCTTCCAGGAACAGAATTTTACCTTTGCTTAAATTGTAATGACTGAGGTGATTCACAGTTTCTTTTATATATTATTTGTAGTAGTACCATATGGAGTAATGGTCTCAGTTGTTTACAAAATTGTGTGAGAATACTGTCCCATCTTCAAAGAGCTTAAAATTTAGATGGTCTGGAGGCAGGGAAAAAGGCGTGGAAATGATTGGTATTTAAAATGCTGTGCAGCAGGCTCTGGTTCCTGGTCCACCTGAGGAGCTCAGTGGGTCATGCAGAAAGGACCAGCCCTTGTTTTTTGTTTTTCGTTTAACCTTCTAGACTTGGATAATCGAGGGTGAGTAAAATGTTAAAGCACTTCCTTTATTTACTGTATAAACTCTCTCACCTGTATACAGAAGATTGTAGATCTGCTCTTAGATGTCTTCTGTGTTTGTGGGACTTGCCCTTACCTCTTGAAGAGCCTATACTTCCCAAGCATGAACAAAATGGCATTGCAGCACATGGACAAGAGGCAGGTTTTCCCTGTGCCGTGGCATAGCTTGGAGTCAAGCAAAGGGCAAGGTGCCTTAAAGACAGCAAGTGTCCCCACTTTTACCAGAACTTTGGGGCTTTTGAAGACAAATCTTTCAGAAATTTTTGCATATAACTGGCTTTGTTCGTACTGCTAGACAGTTTGTTTTCCCATACAGAAAATTGCTAGTATGGATAAGTGCTTACAGGATTGGACCTTTCATGTGTGTTAATAGTTAACAGAAGGGGTATGTGCGTATTGGAAAGGACAAACAATCACAGACGTGGTGACTTGCTGGCACGATGTGGGTTTCCCACAGTTGTGTAATCTGGTTACCGACCATTGTGCGAACTCTTGAGAAGCTGGTACAAAAATTGGCTTCCTTTTAGTTATTGTATTAGAAATGCAGCGAACGTTTAAGGAATATGAGAGGACAAAACAAACCAGAAAACACTTCACACTCTTCCCTTCTCCCCCAGCGTATTAAATCTGATGATTAAAAGAATCTAACATCCTTAAACTCTGCTGACAGCTAGCAGCACATGCTGCTGCGTGGTGCTTACAGACATGTACAGCACTTTGAAGATGCAGTCTGTAAACTAATGGGTTCATGGACCACATTTTCTCCCAGTTGTACAGAAATTAGATGTATCTTACTATTACAATTTAGGTTTTTAACATCTTCCCTCCCCTGTGAGTAGGATCCCGTGCCTTAGTTATTGTGTTTGTGACTCTGGACCAGGTATCTTCATGTGAGATTTTTCTGCTTTTAGCACTTGCAATGTAGTTGTAAGACAAAGTTAGTGTAACAAAATGTAGTGAGGAAGGAGGACTGCAGTGTGATGTGAAGAGTCAGTGTACAACATGACTTTTTTGTGATTCCTTCAGAAGATTTCTCTAGGATACTATGAACAGCAAGACACCTCACGGTGTTAAAAACTTCCAACTTCTTACCTTGAACTGTTCTAAGTAAAAAATCACACTCCAGTTTATTAAAGTTAGTTTGGTTTTTGCGAGTACCAAATATGGTTCATAGTCGAGTATTTGCTTGGTTCTGTGAAACAGAAGTATATGTGATGTTTGGGGGCCTTGGGAATAAAATATTGTGCTAAGGCTGTCCAGGAAGAATCCGTCTGAACTTCTCCCCTGCTCTCAACTTCATCGTCGTTCTAGCTAGGAAGCCTCGAGGATTTTGGTGTGCGTGTGGATAGTCACATTAGTTTATTAGAAAATTACTTGGCCGATAATTTTCTGACTCTCTCAAGAATGCAGTACATATATGTATGTTAATAACCATTCTGTTGCAGAATTGTTCTGTTCAGAGAGTTTAAGTTGTTCATTTGCTTAACTATTCATTTTATTACTTTTTATATATTTTTTAAAAATTGGCTGGCTTCCCTAAAAATAAGTTGGTGAAGGAGAAAATAAATATGCTGTTGCTTGCACTTACAATAGTGCCATTGTGCAAAGCAGAGCAAGGATCATTTCCAAACGGCCTCAGGTGAAATCTAATGGGAAACAATTTCAAACTGGTCTGAGTTCATTGGTAGAAAGAATGCGTCTTAGATAAACATCTGATCCAAGTTATACTACTTGGTATTATTATTCCTTCTCCGATTAAGTTCTAATTTTTTATTTATTTTAATAAATATAGTTGCATTGGCCAGTTGGAATAAGGAGCCTGTTATACTGTCTTTAATGTGGATTCCATAAAAATGGTTGTTTGCAGGTTACTCTGATTTATGGGGCTGCTGCAGCTTTTTCTTATTACTGAAAATGATCGTTTTCTGTAAACTGTTTCTCATAGAGACGGTACTTAGCATTATGCTGCTCTGCTAGTGATGGCCTTTCAGGCACAGCTTGCAGTTTTGAAGAACGTGTAGCATTAATTAATATTTATTTTCTTTTAGCATTTAAATTTGTTCCTTATATTTACAGGAGAGTTCCAGTCTTCCTGCTTCACTGCTTTTAGCTCAGCATAAGGACAGATCTACTCAGCTAGAAGTGCAAGTGGAAAAACCCAAACCTGTCAAACCAGTCACGTTTTCCACTGGCATCAAAATGGTAAGACTTGCTCGTTTCTTTTTTTAATGCTTTTCAAAAGACCAAAGATTTCCTCATATGATATTTAGAGATTATTTAAATCTGAGTTGCATATATGAAATATATAATTGGAAGAGAACAGTCTAAGTAATTAGGAATTAATGTAAGAATTTAATCATTCTGCTAGTTGGAATATATGAAATATTTTCATTGTGTAGTTGTTGAAAAATAAGCTCTACCTTTTCCCTGCAAAGTTGTTCTGTACTCCGAATTATTGTTGTCTCATTTGTGTACCAATTCTGGAAGCTGGAATTTTGGAAGTTCAAAAAAGGTTGCACTCTCTTCAGATTTTAAGCCCTGGAATAATCTGTGAGTATGATACAGGCAATTTAGAAAATGGTGCTGAGTAGTTAAGGATGCTCTTTTCATTGTTATTGGAATCTAGGAAGCAACAAGTATTTTTCCAAATGTGTTACTGCTATGGTGACAGCTAAAGATCTGTCAGCATTCCTGTTCTTTATCACGACATGGTACAAGTATGCATCAGCCTGTGTGTGGAAATGTAAAGTTTTGTGGGGAGTTTTAGGGGTGGGAGCATGAGTTACTGATCCTTTTTTTTCACCTAACTGCTTTCCTGGTTTGTTTTGTTTTAAATTTCTGCATTTTCTTTAGACTTTGTATTTTAGAATTGATAATGGTAAATGATGTCTTTAAAATAACCAACATACTCTACAACCTCCTCAACAAACCAAGAAGTCAGCAAAGACCTTTGCATCAAATTAATCTCTCATCAATTAATCTATTTATTTTGTCAGGGGTATCTGTACTGTGTTCCTTAACCCCCAAAGAGTTCACAATGTAGCAGCATTTGCAGCTTATTTTTCCAAAAGTAATGTCAGCTTTTGCAAAGCTGTGCAGATTGTTTTCTTGTTTTCCTGTATTATAAGCCATATCTTCTGATTTTTTTTCTTTTAAAATCTAAGAGTCTGGGGCAGATTGATAAGCTTTGTGAGACATTTTCTGTTTGTGTAGAAAAGCTAGTGGACAGAAAATGTTTATTCTGTTTTAAAGAATATTCTAACTGAATGCCTATACTTTTATTCTGTTAAAATATATTGTCAGAATTTCTTAAAGCTGTTGTCCTTTCTTCTGGGAAAAGAAAGAAGATATGCTTATGCCACATGATGGGGACAGTGGAAGTACTTTCTAATGCATTTGTAGATGGATATGAAATGTAGTATGTGGTAGTGGACACTTCAAATCTGCAGCCCTAAGTAAGCTTCATCCAGGAATGGTGAAAGACTTGGATGAGGAGATTTGGGTGGGAGTGTTGATCTGCTGGAGAG